TCTTATTACTAACATAAATCACTACACACGCAAGTTCTGGTGAACATTCCCTGAATACCACAAAACTCACAAAATCACTAAACACAACACCAGAGAATCACCATCTCCTAACCTGAACAAAGCTCGCTAAATCGCGAATAATAAACACCTGTCAAGATCTCCCTGATAGCGCCTGAGCGGCAAAAGACACGTGGGACTGAACAATGTTAAAAGAACACCAACTACCTACAACATTGTTCAACACCGCTGCCATCATTGTAACAGGGGGGGGGGGGAAATAGCTCTATCTTGTCCATTATTCCACCCCCCAGTTAACTAACGAGGCCGGGGGAAACAGCTCTCTCTAGTCCGTTATCCCGTCCTCAGTTAGCTAACTATTCTAGAGCACCTCCAGAGTTCCTAAGGCAACCTCTCTCGTTCAACACCTTGTAACCTAGGTGCTAAGACTACAAGGCGCCGTAACTTGATCAGTTACCCGAAACTCTAGAGAGAACTCTAGAATACAAAATCATAGCCACAAACGTATAAGAGGAAACGAAAGGAAAGAAATGAATAGTGAAGTAATTAGTGAGGGTTTGGGGTAAGAGGTAGGGAGGTGGGAGGAGCGAGGAGGGTCATTAGTTGAAAGTGAGAGTTTAGAGATGGTGGAGGGAGAGGTGTAGATAGGTAGAAGTAGAAGAGTAGATAGAAGTAGAAGAGTAATAGTAGAAGACGAAATGCTGCCACCATCCATTCATGATCATTACATACCAGACAAGGAATGGAACTTGCCTGTATCAAAATATTCACCAAAGATGTTATCATGAGTTCATTATTAGTAGTTCCCATCTTTATCATGTACTCATTCTAAACCATGAAACCATAACCACAGAGGCTTTCTCACCTCAACTCAAATCTCTAGGGAACAAAGTTAAACACAATTTAAATAATAAATTCATAATTATATTTCACATGAAGTATCATAATTTAGCAATTCAATTAAAATGTTCCAGTTTAATATGCAAGTGAGTCATCATCCAAGAATTCGAGAACCCTACAACTTGACTGCCCCTGATCATCACACAACATATGTAAACACGACCAAGTCACCTAAATGTTCACTCACCGAGGACTGAGTCTAAGTTGAATAGAGAGGGGGGGGGGGGGGTCTGCAATTTTCAGGCAGCGTCACCCCCCGTCTGGTGACGGCCTATCTCGACGGCTGGCCTCTGCTCTGCTCCGCTGGCCGGTCTCCTATTGCTTCATGCTCGATAGCTCTCCGAGTTTATATTGGGGAACCTAGTAGCTAACTCCGCCCACAAGTAGATAGCCTCCGGCACTACCAAGCCACTCCTTAAACGTCGGCATGTTTGAAGGCTACCCGGCTCCAATTATACGCTTAGCGGAAGCAAGGTGAAATTCTCATGATCTGACCTCAGGTCACTTGGGGTCGTTAACGGTTAGAGGTGTGAGATCTCAGGCAGACAACTGGCGCCTCTCCGATCCTTGTCTGTGACTCATGTACTCTATGTATGTATTAACCTAAACCAAACACTTTTACAGTGTTACACGGAATCGAACCCGGGACCACAGGATCACGCATCCAGCGTGCTGTCCGTTCAGCCACCGGCCCCCCCTACGTGTGCGTGTGTGTGTGTGTGTGTGCGTGCGTGCGTGCGTGCGTGCGTGCGTGCGTGCGTGCGTGCGTGCGTGTGTGTACGCACGCACCTGTGTGATTTGTAAAATGGTGCCCATATTTGGCCAGTTTCGGAACTTAACCCTGAAAAGACTCGACGTTACGAAGATAGAGAGACAGAAACACCGACAGACACAGAGGACAGAAAGAGAGACAGACAGACAGACAGACAGACAGACAGACAGACAGACAGACAGACAGACAGACAGACAGACAGACAGACAGACAGACAGACAGACAGACAGACAGACACAAACAAACAGACCAGCCTGGCCTTCATCCCGAGGGCTTACAGACGGGATCTACAACCATTACCGGACACCAAAAACACCTTTTAACAAGGGCTTGGACACCACCCCTTCACACTACCGACGGGTGCCTAATGGTCCAACCAGGCTGAGGTCAACACTCTGAATACCTGATTGGAATCGGAAGGGAGAGAGGGGGGGGGTAAGCATGGGGGTTAGTGGGGGAGGGGATGGGTAAGAGGGGAGGCATAAACAGTTGGAGATTGATGGGGGAGTGGGGTATAGGGAAGGAAAGATGGGGGAGTAAAGGGGCAATGGTAATAGGTGAGATGGGTAGGGGAGGGGTAAGAGGAGAAGCAAATAGGGGGAGGAGGAATTGGATTAAATGGTATAGGGATTAGACGAAAGAGAGGAGGGAAGGAATGGGGGAGTGAGAGGGAGAGAGGGAGAGAGGGAACAAGAGTAAGGTGGGAAGGGTAGGGAGGCTCTCTCTCCCTCTCTCCCTCCCTCCCTCCCTCCCTCCCAATCTCTCTCTCTCTCTCTCTCTCTCTCTCTCTCTCTCTCTCTCTCTCTCTCTCTCTCTCTGTATAATAACGAATACTAATCGGCCAATTTAATCACTGAACAGTCATATTGCATTTAATTAATTTTCTGGTGATCAATCACAAATTAATTGCCTCATTTGCTGATTAACAACATAAAAAACAAAAGAATTTGATGTACTGATTAGTGACTGTTAAGCGCTCGTTTTGATGGTTGATCAACCACACGTTGATCACGTATTCTGTCGTATGATTAATTATACTCGCATAACTTCTACCGGTTTCTGATCAGTTACGTACTAATCATTCAGTCTTTTGACTGGTGAAGCACGCTAAACTGTCTCTGTTCTGATCAATGCACACTAAAAAATCTCTATTCTGATCAATTCACATTCAACATTCTCTATTCTGATCAATTACACGAGCATAACATTCCCCGTGTTTGACTAATCACATATTAATCACTATATTGTTCAACTACATTATTGATTTTATTCATTGATCCGTCCCATTAATCACATGATTCGCATGCACGAAAATTTCCCCGATTCACGAATCAACTAAAGAGCTCAACAAGCCACACAACGAGACCAAGATTCGCCAATCATTTACATACTCACAAACGAAACTCGTTTCCTCAGTCAATCACACCTCAATCAATCATCAATCATGGCGGCTTTGTTTACTAATCAGTTTATGATCCACAGCATTATTATACGAGCTTGTTTCTGACAAAAATAATGACCTTTGGGTTGTAGATAGTTTCCAAGCTCGTGAACTGGTTAATAACTACATATAACTAAGCCCCTATGATCCGGGAAAGATGTAAATGTTTCGCTGATCCTTTGTCATGTGGAAAAACAATTTAGCCTCGTCTGTGCCGCAGGCGATTTGGGTCCTAACTGCCACTTAGGCTGAACATAAAGGAGCAAAATGCCATAAGATGAGGGTTATCTGGCAGCGTCTAATTCGCTAATCAAGTAAAGTGATCAATAATCCACAAGATGCCACTTGTGGGTGATCAAGTGCCAATTTATTGTGATTAATTCGCTCAATATGTTAGTGACCGGGACGGCTTAATGATCGTGTATTCCTCCACCAGATCCAATTAATCATTAATTGCCTGAACTCGGTAATTAATGTATTTTGTGCCAGACAATATGTATATATAACATAGTATTGACTACAGTGTTCTGAATGACGTAGTGTATGTGTTTGTTGTATTTGTTTTGCTCTTGTTATCGTCCTTGTTGTAATTGCTCTGATTATTAGCGTTCTAATTATTATTAATGTTTTAATATTAATCTAAACATATTGAGATAATGACATGTTAATTTATTTATTCCTCGTGTTTCCTTGTTCTATAAGGAACTGAAGGAGGACAAGTTATTGACACGAAATTGTTGCACAATACTTGTAATTATTGATCAATTTAATCATTTAAGGCCAATATTTAGTCTCTAAACCAATAGTTAGTTTAAGGCCAATATTTAGTCTCTAAACCAATAGTTAGTTTAAGGCCAATATTTAGTCTCTAAACCAATAGTTAGTTTAAGGCCAATATTTAGTCTCTAAACCAATAGTTAGTTTAAGGCCAATATTTTAGACTTGCATGCTGTTGGCTTACATATTCAATGTTGTATTTAAGTAGATAATAACCTAATTATACACATAAGTGTATATTGGCTTAGTAGAAACCAAACTCGTGAACAGGACACAACATTCTTGACCTTTGCAAAGGAAACATTGACTTCCACACATACATAAAATTCCACACTTTTGCAAATCATTATGTCACACATAACTGGCTGTGTGTGTGTGTGTGTGTGTGTGTGTGTGTGGTGTGTGTGTGTGTGTGTGTGTGTGTGTGTGTGTGTGTGTGTGTGTGTGTGTGTGACAGGAATCGTATGTCACACACAAATTATTTATGTGTTGTGTTGTACACAAGTATTACACAACTGGGTTATCTTGAGATGATTTCGGGGCTTTAGTGTCCCTGAACTAGCACCCAGGGTGACCCGCACCTAGCACCCAGGGTGCTGGGTGCTAGATGTTAGATGCTGGGTGCTGGGTGCTGGGTACTGGGTGCTGGGTGCTGGGTGCTGGGTACTGGGTGCTGGGTGCTGGGTACTGGGTGCTGGGTACTGGGTGCTGGGTGCTGGGTACTGGGTGCTGGTGCTGGGTGCTGGGTACTGGGTGCTGGGTGCTGGG